AAACATATTATTTTCCACATACTGTACATTATTGTTTCTCCTCTATGCCCCGCCTTTCTGAAACGTGTCGATTTTTACAAAGCTCATCAGTCTGAAAAAGCGAGGTGTGCTCTGATTGACCAGCTATCCAGTGCGTTGTGATTGGCCGAATACCTCAAGCGTGTGACAGAAATGTTACGCCCCTTACCATATCGTGACATGCCCTGTCAGGCCGGAGCGATGATTCAAAAACATGAAAACCCATTATAAACAAGGCATTCGTTGCATCCAGTGGGGACATAATTATGGATTATAATGACTTGTACTGTCTTTTTACGCGTTGCATCGCGCCGGGAATTGCCGGCGGGCTGAGTGAGCAGAGGCCGGGGGATAAAGTGAGGAACGGCCGGCGGGCTGAGTGAGCAGAGGCTGGGGGATTTGACGAAGGAGCGTCCGGAGGGCTTGCGCAACCACATGTGATGGCCCCGGGCTGGACTCCGCTTCGTTCATGGTGAAAGCCGATCCGGCGATCCACAGCTCTAGGCATGACGAAGCGGATATCGTCCTCTTTTGGAAGGCCAAACAAAGTAGTTTTGCTTTCACAACGAATCACACAGCGCATTCACAACATGACGGCAGCAACAATACTACAGCCAGAATAAAAGTTAGGCCTTCTTTCTTTGCTTGAACATTTGGTAAGAGCTTGTAACACTCCAAAGAGAAAGGAAAAATTGAAATCGCATCATATGACCCCTTTAAGTAATTTTGCATATCAAGCAATGTTTAAATATTTGTCCTGGAAAACAAGACAAATACCCAGTAAGAAATTATTGTATTTATTTATTTATTTATTTATATTTTTTTGCCGTTGTACATAGCTAACATCATGTTTACCTGCACAGATATATTATTATTATTATTATTATTATAATATTATATTGTTGTTATATTATATTGTTATATTGTATTATATTATATTTGGTTAAACCTCCTAATTTTGTCAGATTATTTTTTTTATTTTTTTTTTTATTACATTTTTGAATTTTTTTAGAGGTGATTTTTTCAAAATATAGTTTTCTGATAGACAGTATTTCTAATATTAAATCTCAACAATGGTTTGGAGTATAAATGTACAATTGTAATATTTAAATAATTTGAAAGATGACACTTTGCTTTTTTCTGTCAAAAACTAAGCGACTCAAAATGACAAAGCAGTGTAATTGAAAATTGCTTTTGGTGTAATTGAAAACAGCGGCATTGACATTTTGAAGGTCTGAAGTTGAAAATAACACTGAATATTCCTTTCAGCGATTGAGACGCAGTAGGACGTGAGTGGTGTTAGATTGACAGATATCTTATGCAGTGAGCACAGCTCTCAGATCAGACAGAGAAGGCAAGGATGAGAGAGAGGGAGATCACAGATGGAGGACAGATTGAATTTGAAGTTCAGAATCAATGTCTTGTGGTGGCTTTAGTCCAGCTGTCAGAATAACTTCATTGTGTGCAGCCGCTCCACGCTACATCTTAATACACAACGTCTTAACCGTTCTGGCCCACGCTGTCCTGTGCTACATTTCCTTTTTTTTTGGTTATGCAATGCTTTCTGAAACACAACTAATGTGTTCCATATGGAGAGAAACTACTGCGCAGGAAAGGAACCAAGGCGGAATTGTTCCTAAATTAAAGACGTATGCATCATGCTCATTACTGAGCTGAATGTGGCGTTTCTTTATTCTGTGTTGTGGAGTCAGCGGTCGGTTTGTATACTGCCGGTCACCGCTGCCACACCAGGGGACAGATTGTAATGATAGCTTACGGTGCAGCATAGTAGCAAACATTCACAACGCACTGAGATGAAAACATCTCAAAACAGCTCACAGGCTTCAAAAAGAAAGAGAGAGAACGGATATTAGCGTGTCACGATGAAACAATCTGGAATACATTTCTCCTCTGCTACAAAAAATTGACATCTTATGTAAATAGTCGCCAACAGTTATCAATTTCATAACAAATGCAGACTAAACAAAAGCAGAATAATGTGAAACAGCTTTGGCATTTATCTTAGGACTTTGATTTTACATTGGTCAAAGTGCCAAAGTTGTTTACTGTGGTAAATCAATGGGATAGTCACTCAAAAATGAAATGAAAATCATTTACTCACCCTCATGTTGTCCCAAACTGGTCACTTTCTTTCTTTTGTGAAACTTAAAGGAGATATTTTGAAGTTGAGTGTTGGTTACCAAAGTTTTGGTTCCCATTGACTTGCATTGTATTTTTTTGTTTAATAATGGTCAATGGAACCCAAAAACATTTGGTTATAACATCTTCTTTTAAGTTCCACAGAAGGTTTGGAACAACATGAGAGTAAATACTAGAATTTTCAATTTTAATAATATAATAAATTATATATATTAACATTATTCTTTTCCCTATTTTTTTATATTAGCATTACTAATGCTTTTGGTGATGGTATGTCACAAACCTGTCCATGTTAACATCTGTGAACCAATGTGGCTAGCTTCTATCAAGTGATAGATGAATTTGCTGCCAAAATGCAAGTAGAGTTTAAATCAACTCAAGTCATTTAATGTCACCAATAGAAAATTAAACTTTGAAACAATGGACTGTGGATCATACAGGCAGACTGATGTTTCTTTTGTTCCTTCATTTCCTGCCCTTTTTTTTAAACTGCATTATCAATAAAAATGGCAAATAGGTCAAACTTAAAATAATCAAAGATTCTCAGCCATTAGCATGTTAGCTCAAACATTTCACCAGACTTGGAAAATCGACATCTTCTGTGAACAGTCGCTAACAGTATCGATTTCCTGGCAAACACAACGATTTACTGACTAAACAGCAGCAGAAAAGAAAAGAAGCTCAGATTTTCTCTAAAAAAGCTTCTGTTCTCTCAGAGCTTGCGACATAACGGTTAGCATACATGCTGTGACACATTAACACTGCAAAAATGGCTTCTAAGTTAATTGGCCTTTTTACTTGTTTTCAAGTCGAAATATCTAGAAAAACCTGAAAACAAGACAATTTACTCGAGAATCAACAGTGCATAAATTAAGACTTGATTTGTTTAGTATGAGTGTATTTTTTTCATATATACAGTATACTAGTAATATGATAGATAGATAGATAGACGTCCTAGAAACTAATGTTACAATGATGCTAATAGAAATGTTTCTTGTTTTTACAACATTTTAATAAAAATGTTTTGCAGTTTGCATTGCTTGTATGGTTAATAGGATTTGAATCCAGCTTGTCATATTCTTCGCATCATGGTTGTCTGTCCTCTGTCTCCTTTAAATGCCTCTTATAAATAAAAATGTTAAGAAGGCCAAAAATACACTAAGATGCTTACATAAAAACATTTCACCTCGATTCCAAATGACATCTTCCATAAACAGCCGCCATAAGTTATCGATTTCCTGACAAATATGCAGACTTAAATGATGTCCGAAAGAGGTGAGGCACAGCTTTTCTCTGCTAAAAAATTCTGCTAGCATAAGCTTGGGCTTAGCGGTTAGCGCACAGCTCTTGGAGCTTGGTGCTCGTACTAATGAAAATAAGCCCAACAAATTAAATGCCAATTAGATTTTTATGTTTTCTGAAGAAAATGCGAGGGCTTGTGGTCATTGTTAAGATTTGTACTATGTAGTTTGTACTGTGTGCAATGATTTGATCATCCTGGAGCCTGTTAGAATCTGTATAGCATATGACAAATAGCAGACGTCTGACCTCCTGCGCCGGACACACTAACATACTTTAGTTTCACATGACGCGCTCGCAGCTGTGGGGCTTCCTAGAGTTTGCATTATGTTTGTTTGACTAAATCTGCACTTTGTTTAAAAAGTGCATCTGACCACCCATGTCAAATCCAGTTTTAGTGTAACAGATGTACATTTCATCATGTAATGTAACGGACTGAGAAATGGCTTGTTTGGAAGAACAGCTTCACTATTCACAACCACGTTAATCTTATAAATACAAAAAGGTTGGAGATGTGGCGTAGTGGTTAGAGCACATGTTCAGACATATGTTTGAGTCTGACTTGTGATATTTTTTCATGGTTATTGCAATTCGAATACATTTTTAGGATAAGTTTCCTCCATCATTTTCTGTCATTTCTTTACTATTCTTTGTGCTGTTCTGAACATCCTTTATCTAATTTGGTGTTCTCAGTGAAAAATCATCAGCCTTTTAAAAAATTGCTTGTAAATCTCTCATTATGCTGTATTATCAACAATATTGGATTTGTACCTTTGTCAACTTGTTTTCTTTTAATTGGGACAGGTTTTGTATTTCTTTTTGGAAATGATTGATCATAGGCCTCATTGATCTAAACTTAGGCACCTCAGTTTTTGAGTGAAAAAAACATTACTTGTGGATAATTGTGACAATATTTGCTCAAAAACTGAGGTGCATAGGCTTAGATCAATAAGGCCTATGATCAATCAGTTCCAAAAAGAAATACAAAACCTGTGCTAATTGAAAGAAAACAATCTGATATAAAGATTGAATCCAATATTTGGTAATAATATAGCTTAACAGGTACTTTTTTTGTAGGCTGGTGACTTTTGACAAGAAGGTGAAGGAAAAATCCCCTTTCCCCTTGCAAAAATCCTTTGTATAGTGTTAGGTTTTAACTAGCATCAACTAGCATTTTTAGGAAAAAGAAAATCCTCTCCAGGATTATGTTGTACTCTCACAACACATGAGGGTTATACTATAAATAAAAAGGGCCAAAAATACAGTAAGATTCTGATTAGCAACATGAAACAATCCTGAAAACAGGAACTATGGTTCCCATGGTAGTTTTTGTTTATGTATTTCATCTTTTTGGAGGGAAACTGCATCTGCAGCATTTTAAAAGGATGTTTTTATTGTCTTGTCACTTGAAAAATGACAAAAAAAAGCCGCTGTAAAACCAAAAATGCCCTAATGGTCAGAAAAAGGAGTAGGGGTGTGTGACTGGATTTTTGATGTCTTTTGCGTATGTTGTGTTTCCTCAGGTACAACAGGGACAGGTGTACTACTTCCACGACAGCAGCGAGACCACAGAGGACAGTTTCACCCTCGCGGCGGCCGCTTCTCACATCACCCGCCGGAGTGCGTCCCTGACCATCGGCATCACCATCCTCCCTGTGAATGACGAACCGCCCCGCATCCAACGCAACACCGGAATGGAGGTACACCGAGACCATTTTCCCTGTTTTAAACATTAATGAAGCTTCTAGAACAGAGACGTAGTCGGAAAATTCAGAGCGACTCCCTCCGCTGGAACACAGAGTGTCATTCAGTGCTTGCTCGATGTTGTCTGTGGTTTTTGGTCGCCGTGGAAACTCATATTTTTGGAAAACCATGAGGGTGGCAAGAATTCGGCTTCTGGGCTGGAGGGAAAGCCGACCAATCGGAGACGCCCCTCGACTCCCGCAAAATGTGAAATAATGATATGTGTGTTTTTCCACATGCGGATAGTTCCCCTTCTCTCGCGCGCGTGCCTTCTCTCTGTCTGTCTGACTCTGTATCAGACATGCTTTAATCCAGGAACACCTCAATTTCCAATGGTTACTGATGATAATAATAGAGAAAGTCAAAAATTCAGGCCGGCTCTTTCCAAAACTGTAAACACAAGTTTTACCAGCACAGTATTTAACACACACTTATAATTAGGTGGTTTCACTAGAAAGTGCCTGATTCATATTTCACCCTAAAATCAAAAGGATTAAAAGGGGAAACATAGATTTAAATATGTAATAAATATAATATTTATTTGTTTATTATTTGTTAATAATTATATATAATCATTATGTGTATTTTATATATATATATATATATATATATATAGCCAGAAAAAATGAAAACAATTATACATTTATACAAGTTTTAATTTTTTAATTCGCAGAAATTATAGTTGTATTGAATTATTATTGTATTATTGTGATATTAATAGAATTAACTGCATAATGCAAAATAAATAAATAATTCTAATGACTGTAATGTGGCAAAAAAATTCTTTATTGTAATTAAAATTGGGTAAATTAAATTCAGTACAACAAATTCTACTATGGTATCTAAGAAATCATAATTTTCACATTACAGTAATGGGGATGAGCTCTGTTTTGCATTTTGCTGCAATTATTGTCCCGGTGCCAAAAATCGCAATGTTCCCAAAATGGCTTCGTTTTACAATTTCATGTGGTTTTCCTTTTTGCATGAAACATGAAACTTCTGTGATATTCATCCACACAAACACAATCACTCGATTACTCAAACACACACACAAACACAGAGTAATATATCAGTTCTGGGCTCCCTGTGCTCTAATGTAGAGACCCTATAGAGACACACCAGTCTAATCAGAGAGAGATTGCATTTTCCCATCAAAGCAGGCCTCGGCACGGCATGCTGGGATTTGATTTGCCATGCAGCCACTGATCCATGTTACATCTATTAAATATTGAGTATGAAGAGAAACAGCAATTTCCAGCCCAATTTGGGAGATATTTGATTCATATGTTTCACTCGTGCTGTACTCTGCTCTAGTGCTACCATCTAGTGGATGCCCATGGATATACTATACAGAAAGTGATGTAAAGGTCTTTGAACAGTCACCAGGGGGCAGTACAGAGACCTATCTGCTATGACTAATATTTGCCCTGGTAATGACACTGCATTGCCCTCCATTAAATAGCACTCACAGGAGGAAAGGAGATGATTTTACATGCACTTAAATCTTGAAGGTCACGTTATGTGGAAACTAGATTACTAAATGATAATGAGTTTGTAGACCTTTCTGTTCCAGGGCACTACGCCATGTAGTCAATTCCAGTTTTTTCCCTCGGTCTCTCAGGAGAGCGGTAGATGGAGGCAGTGAAAGAGTTCAGGAACAGATAAATGCGTGCTGATGTGTGGCGCTCACACGGCAGCCCTGCACTCTCCCAGCTGAATTTCTTCGTTTAAGAATGTCTTTCAGCAACTTGTCCATTACACATCCATTAGAGCAGCATCAGAGGAGACATAACTGCCTCTTTCACATCCCAACGACTCCAGACAGTTAGACACCTCTGAAAGCAACAGTTTAGTTGTTCCATCTTGTTTATTGGTTTGTTTATCTCTCTTTGTTTGCGTGTCTGCTCTCTCCTTTCAGCTTGTAGCTGGTGAGGAGTCTGAAATCACAGCCAATATGCTGAGCAGCGAAGATCTTGACACCCCTCCGGAGGAGCTGGTGTATGCCATCGAGACGCCCAGCAATGGGATCGTTGCCTTTAAAGTGTCCCCGGATGACAGCATGGACAGTTTCACCCAGGCTCAGATTAATAATGGAGAGGTTTTATTCATTCATCAGGGTGGGTTGACATCAGTTTCTTTGAATCGAGTCCTTTAAAACCTTTAAAAGCAGACTAAAATATCAGCTACTAAAGAAAAAAAACAGTAGGCCACCTGATGAGGGACCAGAAAAGAGATTTGGGGCGTGGCAATCATAGAACAGCTTAGCAACCACATGGAATCGTGTTAAAAGCCACTTTCAAGGCCCAGCCACTCAGAACACCACAGCAATATACTAAGAACCTCCCAAAACTGCATAAAAACATAGTAAAAAATGCCTTAGCAACCATATAGCAACAAGCTAAAAACAACTTAAAATGCCTCAGGACACCTCAGCAATCGTATACAGTAGCAGCATCTAAAAAACTGTTCTGAACACCTTTAGCAACATGCCAAAACCCACTCACAACCAGTGTTGGGCAAGTTACTCTGAAAATGTAATCTGATTACTGATTACTCCTTTTAAAAGTAATCACGTTACTGTTCTGATTACTTTATTTAAAAAGTAATTAGTTACATTACTAGTTACGTTACTTTTTTCTCCATGAAATTTATGAAATCCCAGCATACACGCTCCCGATAAATATTTGTTATTATAGCATCAACATCCACAGAACACTGTTATTTTTAACTAAAGCAAGCGGCTGCTGCGTGCATGGTTCGGCATGGCAGAATGCCAGCAAAGAGCGCTGCATTTATAATCTCTAAAAGACATCTCAGTTAATCGCAATCTCACAAATCTCTGTTATAACACAATAAATATATGCATAATGAATCTTTCATAATGTCTACAATTCGTGTGTTATAATGAGAGGATTCCGCAATCTCACAAATCTCTGTTATAACACAATAAATATATGCATAATGAATCGTTCATAATGTCTACAATTCGTGTGTTATAATGAGGATTCGTGAGCACGCAAATTTCAGCACTGCATTGCTCAGCGCTGCAAACATGTGTTGTAGCCTAAATAGAAACTCTGCATATGCTCGCACCTGTTAATCGTCTCGTGGGAGCAGGTCTCTAATCCACTGGCACTTGACTTGACAGTGTGTGTGCTACATCCTTTTTACAATCTCTAGATTATAAAACACTGCATTCTGTCAGCAATGTAATGCGGCAGTAACGTATAGAGACCTCGGCGTAACTATACTCTAATTAATATTTTGAAAATTATAACGTGTTAAATTACTCAGTTACTAAAAAAGTAATCAAATTACAGTAACGCGTTACTAAGTAATGCGTTACTTCCCAACACTGCTCACAACACATTATCAAATGCATAGCAAAACGTTAAAACAACTCAGAACAACTTAGCAATCCTAATAGAGTAGCAGCATCTAAAAGAAACTGTTCTGAACACCTTAGCAACATGCTAAAACCCACTCAAAACACATTAGCAAATAACATGTTAAAACAACTCAGAAGACTTCAGCAATTATATAGAGTAGCAGCATCTAAAAAACTGTTCTGAACACCTTAGCTACATGCTAAAACTAGCTCAGTTACATATTAGCATGTTAGCAAATGCATAGCAACACGTTAAAAAACTGAGAACACCTTAGCAATCATATCATAGTAACTGCATAGTAACAAGCTAAAATCCAGTCATTAAAAACAACACAGCAGTCATATTCAGTAGCAACATGATAAAAACAACACCTTAGCAACTACATAGCAACTGTTACAAACAACTCAGAACAACTTAGCAATCATATAGAGTAGCAGCATGCAAAAAAAAATCTATTTTGAACAGCTTAGCACCTGCATGGCAACATGCTACAGCACACTCAGAATACATTAGTGAATGCATAGTAATATGCTAGGAACACCTCAGCAATCATATAATAGTCACCTGCTAAAACCCAAAAAACAAATTAAAACAACTCAGAACATCTTAGAAATCATATAGAGAAAAAACAAATCTATTTGAACCGCATAGCAACACACTAAACTAGGGTGACCATACGTGCCATTTTCCCAGGACTCGTCCTGGCAAATACCATACAGACGGTTCCTTATGCTTTCAAAATTCTCTCGAGGTATTTTGATGTCATACACCGATCGGTCTGCACACGCAAACAAAGCCAAAACCTAGATATTTTAGGCAATATAGAAATCATGGCCAGGACGCATCCTGGGAATATGGCACGTATGGTCCCCCTAACTAAACCAACTTGGAACACTTTTCAACACTAAAACTACTGTGAACAACTTGCAACCACATAGCAACTTTTTAGATAAAAGTTCCCTCAAAGAACTTTATAAATCTATGATAGATCTAAATGTGCTGCAAGGAACCATTGAAGAACCCTTGTTTTAAGAGTATAACATGATGTAGTGAGTATGATGTGCGTGTGTCTGGTCTCAGGCTCAGAGGCTGGTGGGTTCAGCTTCACCGTGACTGATGGAGAACACACTTCACCTCTCCACCGCTTCGTTGTCAAGGCAAGACAGCTCACCATCTCCATGGAAACGAAGGGAGAACTCATGGTCTTCCCAGGTGGGCTCCACACGTCCAGACCTTAAATCCAAATCCCTGTCTTTCCCTGGGCCAAATGAAAGATCTTTATTGGCCCAGAGAGAAATTGTTCATAAATCTTCAAATTGGGGAGTCATTTTTCATTTTCCTCATCATGAACAGTCCGTAATCTTATCTGGAACAACCTTGTAGATCAATTCTGTCAATTATAACTGTATGAAACCTGCTAAAATGTGTTTTCATGAAGAAATCAGTGGAGTGATATGATTTGTTTGGTGATGCTTGTCAGGCACCAGGCAGGTGATCAGTGGAGATATTTTGCGGGCCATAACAAGTGAAGACGGTGATGAAATCACATACTCACTAGTGAAACCTCCTCGCTTGGGACGAATAATCAAACCTAACCAGCGTGGACAGTTTGAGGAGATCACTAGATTCACGCAGACTGAGGTAAATAATATTGTGTATTTGTGAAAATGTACTTGCAGAGGAAACCAGTAACACATACAGCTACATTTTAGAAAGGTTTAGATTTTATTAGCGGTAGTAGTAGTATTGGTATTAGTATTATTTTACAGAATAATTGTTTTGTTTTGACATTGTATAAAAACCCTTAAAATGTGCCTTGAGTAAAGCCTCTTCCATTGTAATGCCATCTCTGGCCACAAGAGGGCAACAAATGTGCAGATATTATTAGTTGTCAGTAGATGGCAGCACTATTTTCCAATTTCCAATTACATTCAGGCTTTTGCCTGCTAAATCTAAACTTATGAAATCTGCAAGTATTTCAAATTTAGAATTCAAACTATATTCCTTATTTGCTGTTTTTAATGTCTGATGCTTCAACATCTGACCATTTGATCTGTTTTATGAAGAGTGTTATAACCTGTGGCAACTTATAAAAGAGTTTTTGATTCCTGTTGTGTGTTCAGTTGGATGCAGGTGCCGTATATTATGAGCATCAGATGCCGGCTGAGCCCTTCTGGGTCCTGAAAGATTCTGTTGAGCTGGCCCTCACATCGCCCCCAGCAACAGAGCTGCATCACAGCCTGCCAGTCACTGTGTCATACTACGCAGCCAATCAAAATGTGTCATCTCAGCTCTGGAAGAACAAAGGTAGCTACCAATTAAATGTAATTTTTTGGAGTAGTGGTTTGATGCAGGTGCTCTGTCAATTGATTCAAAAGTAAACAGAAGACTGATAATAACAGGCAAATGTGGTGGGAACAGGACACAATGCAGGCTACATTCAAACTTGTATTTTCTGCATGAGACTGCATTGTTACTCAATGTGGTTGGAGCTTGAATGCCAGGGTTCCTCAAATCTGGCCCTGCACTGCAGAGTTTAGCTCAAAACCTAATCAAAGTCCACCAAGCAAGCTAATCAAGGTCTTCAGAGTTACTAGAAAATTACAGGTAGGTCTGTTCGATCACGGTTTGACTAAACTCTGCAGGGCAGTAGCCCTCCAGGTCCCTATTGTATGCTAATCTATAGGACACAGGTCTAATAATTAAATGTAATTTAATTATTTTCCTTTGGTGTTTTGTTAATGTGTTGCAGGTGTGTCTGTGGTGCAGGGTCAGTCTAAAGTGATTGACAGCTCTGTTTTGGATGCTTCTAACCTGCTGGCCAGTTTGCCTGAGCAGAAGCGGGCTGGGCAGGACATCGTCTATGAAGTGCGTCGGTTCCCCAATCATGGACGACTCACTCTCGGAGGGTCTGACCTGCCTCGTGATGCTCCACGTTTCCTGCAGGATGACGTGGCACGTGGTGATCTAGAGTACAATCACGATGACTCCGGAGCATCTTCTGATAGCTTCTCTTTCCGGGTCCATCTGAACCCCAGTGGCCGCACTCCGCAAGTCCAGCCCGGTGCCGTGGTTCTGGAGGAGATCTTCCTGATCTCCATTAGACGGAGAGACTCAAACCCGCCAGAACTTGTAAGCTTGGACCTGCTTCTGGAAGCACTGCAGGGCTCCACGACCATCATCTCCAAAAACTACCTCAACACGGTTGACCAGGACAGCACACCGGACGAGGTCCGATTTCTCATCTCCAAGAGTCCAGCTAACGGATATGTCATCTACACAGACTCTGGAGACCGGATCGACCAGTTCAGCCAGGAAGACATCAACACTGGGCGGGTTGCTTTTGTTAGTGATGGAAGTCTGTCCAATGGTTTCATGGAATTTATAGTGTCTGATGGGAAACACCAAACAGACCCATACACGCTGCATATCGGAATCCTGGCCAAGTCTCTGATACTGAACAAAGCTCCAGAGATCCACGTACTGCAGGGAGATGACGAGACGCTAATCACAGAGGACATGCTCAGCACCTCCACTGGGGGTCCTGTCGAGGAAGATGTACTCTATAAGATCACCAATGTCCCGAAATACGCAGCCGTAATGGTGGACAGACAGCCCACATCGGCTTTCACACAGAAGCAGATCAAACAAGGAAGAGTGAGTGTCCGTTTCGTTAAGTCCACCTCACCGAGAGATAGCGTGGCCTTTATGGCCCGAAGCAGGGCGGCGAATGTGTCCTCCGTCCTCAACATTACCGTGAAACCACTGGCGAAGGTGGCCCAGAATCCCCTGCTCCCCAGAGGTGCTACTGTACTCGTAGACAGAAAGTTGCTGGACGCTACACCTCTGGCCAACAAGACCAGAACATCTCCAACCTTCAACATGATCAAACAACCTCAAGGAGCGCGATTCGTCAAGAGGGGTGGGCAAGATGATGGCCAACCAGTAAGTTCCTTCACCCAACGAGACCTGGATGAAGGTCGGGTAGCTCTGGAAATCTTAAACACAACTGGGGGTCAAAACACTGGAGGTCAAGGTCAAGATGAAGCACGCTTTCTCCTAAAAGCACACGGCGTTCCTCCTGCAGAGTGCGTCTTGCCCTTCCATGTGGTCCCTTATGACCCTTCTAGAGTTTATGGCGCTACATTTCTCAAAGTGCCACCGGTGTTCGTCAAGAGCGATCCAGGTCAAGCCGAGCCCAGGTGGAGAGGAGATGGTGACGTGGCTTCTGGCAGCACTACAGCGACTCCTGTGGTGTCTAGACGAAATACACTGTGGGCTATCCTTATTCCCATTCTCGTCATCCTCCTACTCATGCTCCTGGCCGCAATGCTGGCCTACTACTTGGTCCGTCGCAACAAGACCGGGAAGCACAACGTCCAAACGGTGGCAGCAAAGCCGAAGAATGGAGAAGTGAGTCAGGAGACTTTTAGGAAAACCGATCCTGCGAACAACATCCCCATGTCAGACATGGACTCAAAAGGGGCGGATCCTGAGTTAATACAGCACTGTCGGACAACAAACCCAGCACTGAAAAAGAACCAGTACTGGGTTTGAGATCGGCGACCGGACACTTGTGTTTCCAAGGCCTTGAATCATTCCAGTCAGTGTTATACAGTTTTCTTGCCATTATTGATGCTTATGAATTGAAGTCCAGCACATATCTGAGTTTAGGGTTTCTTAGATGGCACAGCCAGATCTGTGTGTGTGTGCTGATGTTCTAATAGTCACATGGTCATTTCTCAACTGAGGTGGAATTAACCAACTTTTAAGGTACTTTTGGACAAGAACATAACGTGTTATGTTTGAACAATCCTTCTTATGTATTTTTAGGCAGTAAATTGTTTAAGATTTTATTTTTTAGTGGTATTTCCGTTTATGTTTGATAAATCAATAGATGTGCCATTTTCCCAACAGCCTGTTTTCTTTTGTGACGCATTGATTTAAAATTGTGCTGACAATTTGGCACCTTTGTTATCACTTGTTTAAAAGAATATGCTGAGTTCAGTACAAGTTAAGCTCTGTCAGCAGCATCTGTTACATGATGTTGATTACCTGAGAAAATAACAAAACAGCTTGCACTTACAGTGGAAGTCTATGAAGCAAGTCATTGCTCCTTTAAAATACACATGGAAGTATAGCCACACGACTTCAATTTTCTAAATGACCTACTGTCTTTAAATGACTTACTAGCCTTGTCTGTGAAAAGTTATCCAACTTCAACCAATTATGCCCACGTAAACCAGTAAACTCTACTCAGAGGAATTATGCCGGTAAATCCATCCACCTAGAAAAGTAGTCCCATTGCAAAAGGTATTATTTATTTTAGACCAGTTTTTCCAAACCTATTCCTGGAGGCACACCAACAGTACACATTTTTTATGTCCTGGATCTATTTCAAGTTGTGGAGTTTCTACTAATGATATCATGAGTTGATCATGAATGAATCTGGTGTGTTTGACTAGGAAGAGTTTGAAAATGAGGTTGGGTAGTTAATGTAAGTGCTCTAACAGACATTCAACCAACACCTTTCAAATTTTCAACCCTTTGCAATATATTACCCCATAGATTCTCACTGCAAGTGCTTGTTAATACTGTATTTTCTGTGGTAATTGACAGCATAACAGTCATAGAATTATTAAGCTGAAAGTATGCTTTGATTTTCTGTTTTTAATGTGCATGATGTAAATTTCAACCATAGATGGGCTGTTGTAAAGAATGGGTAAAAGAATGTGGAAAATGCAGGAAAAACTACAGATGTTGAAGGTGGAAACGATGCAGTGGATTTGTGAGGAAACAGAAGGTACCTGTGTTTGTACAACTTGTTTGAAAAAGTATAACAATATCTTTTGGCCTATTGGCTACTTCTTTTTTTGTACCGAACTTCAGAGCTGGGAAACCATAGAGTCACAGCTCCCTGCTGGCCTATACAGGTCAAAAGAAGTATTACAAAGCAACAGTATTATGGTCAATGGAGTATAAATAAAAAAAGTCTAGTACATTTGAATGTGTGTGAGATGTAACAGCAGTTGGAACAATTATACATACTCTGCTTCAGTTTGGTCAGATTATGGTGCTAGTGCCGCTTTAAAAATCTTATCATGCCTGCTCAAAAAGAGTAATCTCACAGCCATGCCATGTGTACTTCTCAGTTTTGACACATAAACGGTGCTGAGATTTAATGGTTCGAGAGTGTAAATGAGACTTCATGTTTACTAATCATCATATCAGTCGTGTGAAAGTAGAACGAACAGCCTCACTGAATGCTTTTAGATATTTTTCTATAAATCTATCTTTTCTACTCTGTTTGTTGTATCTGTTTTGTCCGTAAATGCTTTCATCCACTGCACTGATTACAGGCACTGAAGAACTGTAAAGTTTTCTCCTCCAGAACTGCAGCCACGGACAGGAAGTGAGTCAGCAGTGGCTGTATTCATGCTGTGTCCTGATTGGCTGCAGGGAAGATATGAGGTCATTATTCCTCAGGCTGCAGCATCTATTTTCCAGAGCTGTTTCTGAGCTCAGTTCACAACTTTTGATTTAGGTTTAAAAATACAAAAAAATATGTAAGTTGCATGGCTGGGTGAAAGTATGTCTGAACATATGCATTTTTTACAAAATTATATCTAGGGTTTACTACAAATCTCTGCCGTTTGAGAAATATATTTCTGTAGTGTTTGAAATAAAGAAACTAGAAACTCAGCTATAGTTCACCAAAAATGAAAATTCTCTCATAAACTTACATTATGTCGTTAAAAACCACTATGACTTTCTTTCTTCCATACTTTGTGTCACTGAAATTTAATTAATATATTTTATGATACTTTTTGGGTTTGCTCTAGACACTGTTGTATGCAAACAGTGGCCTGGACATTTTTCTAAATGCCTTTTTTTGTGTGTGTTCCACGGATGATAGAAAGTCATATGGGTTTGGATCGACCTGAGGGTGAGTGAACAGAGTTTTCATTTTCTATTTCTTAAAAAATGTTTATAGAAAGACTTCCCATTTGTCACTGGTTCTCTCTGAAGTGCAGTTAATCATTTGGACTGTCACTGGCTGAACTGTATAATTAGATGTTTTAATCGGTTGTTTGGCTTTTCTTATCTAACAATAGTGACATTCCTTATAATCATAGACCAATTCTTCCACATCATTCCAGAGTTTAATTATTTAGAGACAGGTTCAGTTCCCAAGGAACTGCATATGGAATTTATATCACTGTTGATCTGATTTTCCCTTTTCTTTATTAAACTAGTATTAACTGCATATCCTGGGGTTACGATATCCCATCTGAGACCTCTCAGGACGTTTGTATCTGTTTGTTTCTGCAGAGCAGAATTGAGATCACGTGAAAACTCAGGATATCAATGGTATTAGTTCTCTGGGTATTTATGGGAATTTGTTGACCTTAAACCCAAAACCATGTACAACCCCACAACCCTCTTCTCTTTTGTGTTTTTGAATTCTGTTTGCTTGTAAATATATTATGTCAGATCACATAACCTATCAGAAGAATCAAAATGCACTTTCCTCCAGCTCTTCAATGATTTCATTTGTGGGTGAGAGTTTTCATTTCCAGTGTTTATTTATTTTTTAGCATCTATATTCGGTTTAGTTTTTGCTCTTTTAAAAAGTTTGTGAACATGCAATTCATTATGTCCCTATAGAAAAAAGTAATATGTCATGGTACCATCACCAAAATAAAAAACAAAAAAGACTGCTTTTGTTTCTTGAATTATGTGTTCCACATATTTGTGTTAAAATTATCATATCATATTACTATTATTAATATTATTATTATTTTATATATAGTTTAATGCACATATCAGCAGCATGTTGTGCTTCATTTTGACCAGCAGATGGCGCAAGGGTGTCCATCAGTATTTCATGAGTTCTCATCTGCGCTCATTCTTTCCTACCAGCGGCCTTTTCGCTTTCTTCAGACTTTCTTGGCTCTTTCTTCGGAATAAGACTCACTGTCAAACGCTCCACAGGCTTGTTACTATAGCTGACATGACTGTTTTCAGCATATTACTTTGGCACCTGCTACAGATCCTTTTATATTTAACAGAAAACTATTTATTTTACTCATTTGCTAACTAAAAGACTTTTGTTTTGAAGTGTCTCACCATATGAATCGGTCAAAACAGCTCAGCTCAACCAGCCAATCAGGTCGCGCTCCAAACACAGTCGACACGCCCATCTGGAGAAAAATGGAACCCAGAAAGGAGAAGTAAACAGTCTCAATAATGCAGGTCAATTGAATGGTTCAGGTTTCTGATTCTACATCATTGAAACTTATGTAAACAAGCAGGTTTTTTAGCAGCACCTGTTCTTAATTACAGTCTAAATGATGGAAGGTTTAAAGGCTGTTGCAATGCATAATGATTGACATATTTGGGAAAGAGAATCAATATAATTTAAATATACGCTGCAAAGGCAAAAGTATTTGCACATCCCCTTTTAATTAAGGGGTTTAGCTATTTCAGATACACTCTTTAAAAGCAGGTCATAAATTGAAGTGTATAGTCACACATTCTCAAAAGAATAGGGCTCTGAGACAGGTTAATAAATGTGAAACTAATATGAAGTTTTTGTTTATTATTATTATTATTACTTAAAATATTGTAGGAAAATATGAGCCATTAAAAATGGATCTGAAAACTGACCTTATTTGAAAAAAATTGTGTCAATAGATGCAGGTGCTTTGTTTGCCGCCTTGCACATTTCAAATGCAGAAACTGAAAACATTTGCATAGAAATGCAGAAGGGCTTTGTGGTTTGCGGAGTCTTTCAGTCTTGGAGAAAGAAAGGCAGATGTTAGGGTCAAGAAAAAAGAGAGGGGTCACCAGAGTTCATGCTTTCTCTCTCGTGGTTTCTCTTGTCAGTGGTCAGATGTGTCAATGCTAGTGTGTGTGTGCATGCAGAAAAATCACTGCACTTTACTTTAAAACAAATACAGAATCAGTATTGCAGTGTGGTTACCTAGCCATAGTCTAATACATAGGGTTAAAATCAGTATCTGTACATATGAGCAACAGTAGGGATACTTGCCTTAGCCAGCAGCAATTAACTAAGCAAATTTGCAGTTGATATATTTCCTTGACCCAAAACATATGTAGATCATATGAAAGGGCCCCTTCTCCTTCTGTTCGTCCCGTCTAGGTGAAATGTGCCTCACAGTTCTGTTTTTTACATCCTACAACTGTTAACATTTCCAACCCCTAAATTAGCTTTTCCTGCTTCCAGTCTGCTATTACAACACCCATGTTTCCATCTGAGGTCACCTCAGAATCTGTGAAATCATCCGGCAATCTTGCTTTTAATTGGTTGAAACACAATTGTAATGGTCAAATGTGTTTACGATGGTCTGATACACTAATAGGTTTAAAAAGGATTGGGTAGTTAAAGTTAAATGTTCTCTGGGCAAAAGCAGCCAACAGGAAATATTAAGTGTAGTGCCCTAGTTAGAGTCCACATGTCTGGGTATGTGATTTGAGACTTGTCGTCATTGTCTCTGAACTGCAGGGACTTTAGTTTCCATAGTGCTGCTCTCAGGGATGCTACAGAAGATATGCAGTCTGGGTAGACCGATAGTTTGAGGAATGAGCTCTGGAAAGGTACTTAAATGGTCTCAACCTATAATGTAACATGAAGAACTTTTTTTTTCAACCTCAAAATCCCTCTACAGTGAAACACGGGTCTTCATAAGAAGAGGATTGTTGCAAACAACCACTGAAGGAGCTTTATTTTTAAGGGTTCTCTAAACATTGCATGTCTGTTGCCAGATAATGTTTTCCCTCTGTAATGTAGTTTATTTGCAGGTCAGATGTGTTT